ACCATCTGACCTACTGGATCACTCTGAACCTTAGTTCCTACATACGCCAAAATATACATCTCATAATGCTATTATGATCATTAAATAAGTTATATGTGTATAACTTACAAGAGACTAGGCAAAGAATTACATATAATATTATATAATATATATATAATATATTATATATATACTTTATATATATATATATTTCTGTGCCTATTTTCTTATAAGTGTTCAAAGACTAGTAACTATTATTGTTTCATGAAGGGTTTCTAGAAAACAGAATAACAGGTTATTTCTCAACTTTGTTGCTTAAATTACACATGGGCTATCATCACTTTTAAGACTTTCAAATGGAATTGTTAGGGGAAGGAGACTGGGGGATGCTTGAGACTTGAGAAAAGATTCTAAGAGCAGCTGTCACTTGTCTGACCCTTGGGACTGGGTTTGGTGTCCCTCGTATGTGCTCTCATAGGGCCACATAGAACCTCATCAACTTCCATAGCAACGATCACTTAATGGCCAGGCTTAGAAATTAATGGGGGCAACCAATGCAGACAACTTGCCCACTGGGCTATCCCAAAGAAGTTTCAGTGAATGCACACTAAACAGCTAAGGTGGGGTTAGGGATGAATGGAAGGAACACAGAGAGGAACTTGGGATTTTCAGTGCTACCCAGACCTCAGAACCCTGCAGTAGGAGGAAAACCACTCAAGGTGCCTCTTCACACCATTCCACAAATGTCCCTGGAATTCCCTGAGAGGAGAACAGAGAGGGGGATGCGGGTGTTGGAAAGGTATTGCGCATTGGTGCTGGGCTTTCCCTTGGCTAAATTTTCTCTTCAAACATTTTTTTAAAGGGGAAAGAATTAAGGGCTATAGAGAATCTGATTCTTTGAGGACCTGAGATGAGAGACTGGGCCTGGAGTCTGGCTGCGTGGGCAGCAGCTCTAAACAATGCAACAAGCATTTTCTGACACCCGCCATGTGCCAAACTACTAGATAGTTTCCATGCACAATGTTTAAAGTAAACATTTATTTGCATGAAAGAAATCCATGCGCATAATGAAAAATCAAATAATGCTTACAAGGTGCATAAACAAGGCAGCCGTCCCTATCCCATCACCCCCCCCCCAAACCCATGCTGTTTCTCACAAGCAGCCCCTTCAGTTCCTTTGCTCTTTATTCTGGTATTTACCTCCAGATGCTTAGGCGACTTTGTGAGTTCCACTGTCCCTAAGTCATCTGTCTCAGATGTTACCTTCTGACTTCCCATGATGATAAATGAGGACTTCCTCTCTTTTCACACCTTTCTCTTCCCCTGCATCTTTCCATTCTAGTCATGTCACCATTTCTGCTTAAATCCCTCTGTGAGCTTTTTCTTACTACGACCACATAACTATTATTCACTGCACAGTTAATGACAATTGTTTTATTTTTTATTTCAATTGACAGCTAAATCTTCCCATATTTACCAACTGCTATAAAACAACCCAGAGAACAACTTTCCAGAGCCAACTCTGGGAATAAGCCATCATTTCCCTTTTCTGCAGCCTCCTCAACTCCATAAACAGAAGAGGTTGCAAGAAAACCCAGGGAACTTCACACTGAGCTACATCCCCAACTTTTTCTTTTTCTTTTTTAAAGTAGGGCCTCATTAAGTTACTCAGTTGTCTAGGCTGGGCTGCAACTTGAAGTTCTCTTGCCTCAGCCTTCCAGAGTGCTGGGATTCCAGGCTTGCAATTCTTATGCCCAGTGGGAGGGTGGCTTATAAGCTAAGATCTTCCTTCTTTTTTTTTTTTTGGCTAATTTTATTGAGAAACAAATAGCAATGAGACAATTTTGAAACTGATTAGTAGGACAGTTCAATAATTAGTACATTGCATATTGTTGTCTTTCTAGTGGTTATTCATACTACAAGATGCAGACTTGATATCTTGTCCGAACAATATTAGTACAAATTTTTTTCTCATTGAATTAAGAGAAAGTACCTGTATATCTGTCCTGTTTTGTATATACAGATACAAAATGCTCCTTTATTTGTATCCCCTTTTTTTGTTTAGTTTTGTCAGAGATGAGTATTCTATTGCTTTCTTTTTCTTTCTTTTCTTTTCTTTTCTTTTTTTTTTTTTTCTGTACCAGGCATCAAATTCAAAATCTTGTGCTTGCCAGGCAGGCCCTTATGCCACAGAGCCATCTCCTTTGATCTTCCTTATTTTTACCTCAAGGATCTCCTGAGTTTCTCTCTTGCACTGGACATCTGCTTTTTGGGAGTCCATGTTGGCTAAACTCCCTGTCATAGCTTACCTTGCCCATTCGCTTCCTAACAAATGCACCACGAGCTAAATTTTGCAAGACTCTGAGTATCTGAAAACATCCCCATTGTGACTCCACTGATAAGAGTTTGGAATTAGGATAATTTTCCTCAAAATTTCTCTCAAATACTTTGTCACTGGGTTTTCTAGGTTCCAATCATTATAAATAGCATGCTGTCCAGATCTTTTATCATTTGTGTATTCGATGTCTCTCTGAAAATTGTAGAATCTTATCTGTCTCCCTGATGCTAAAATTTTATCAGGACCTACCTGCCCTTCTCTGTTTTTACTCTGCACCCTAGATCTCTTGTTGGGCAGATACTGAGTCTTCTGGACTCTACTTTTTAAAATTGTGTAATATATCCTGTGTCATTTTTTCCTCCTTTTTCATGAGTTTTCTCTGATAATTTCAACTTTTCACTGAAAAAAAATGAATAAATCAAATCAAACTCTTACTTTCTCTAAACATTTTCTTGGTTTTTTTAAAAAAAATTGTGAGGCCGGAGAGATGGCTCAGTAGAATAAGTGCTTGCCTGGCAAGCACAAGGGCCTGAGTTCAATCCCCAGTTCTGCCAAAAATAAATAAATAAAATAAAAAAATTGTATACATTGTCCTTATCTTTGACCTATATACTAGCCTTTCTTATCTCCCTTAGAATATTGTCTCTTAGTTTCTTTTTAGGTTCATTTTGATCTTTCTTCTTGAGACTCTTCCCATTCCCCATCAAGTCCTAAAAGTTGATTGGAAGCTCTTTGTCAAAGGGCATTAATTGTAGATTAATTCCCATTGGTACCTTAGAAGGCCTTTGAGGGAACTCTGCTTCTCCAGGAGACCCTCCCAAAGTGCTGCTTCCTGGTTCCAGCCTTGAGCCTCGTTGGGGCCACTCATTGTGCATGTGGGTTTCACTTAACCCTCCCTTTTCATTAGATTCCTCATACCCACAATCCTTATCCACGGTCCGTAAGTTTCCTCAGAGGAAATGTCTCCCATCTCCTATAGAGCCGCTGTGGGTCCTGACTTCATAGGGTCAGATCAGAGATACTCAGTACATCAATCTTTTGCTTTCATCTTTCTCCAGCACCACCTTCGATACTATCAAACACATATTATATCCGGTACCTGAAACTTTCAAGACTCTGCTGGGAAATATGGTTTGCTTCTTGCTTATACCTCTCTTGGCAAGCATTTTGACATGACTTTCCCCTATTCTGCCCAGGCATTTACCCTTCCTCCATCTGATTTCTGACTTTGTGTAAACAATAAGATGTAGTCTTCTCCTAGTTCTATTGAGAAAGGAGTTTACATAGGTTTTCTGGTTTGCCTTGCTATTGAGGAGTAAGTTTCAAGAGAAGAGGGTCAGAAACAGATTTACTCCACCACTGTAAAAATACAAGTCTACAGTAAGTGTATATAAAGTCTACATTAAGTTCACATTACCTTTGAGTCCTCACAACTCTTATTAGTGACATTAATAGAACTGAGGGAACAATACTGAAAGTAGAGGCTTAGGATTGATGAAGAATCTCAAAGCATAGTGAAAGGGAGAAGCTATCAGTATTAAGGGAACCTGGAAGGAAAACTTGGTTCAACAGTTCCAGAAAGAAATGTCAGCAAGGCCAATGGTGTCATGCGTTGAGATCAAGAGAAATACTTTGTAGGCACTGGGCTTGAAGCCTTCCTAAGATGCTGGTGACTTTCAAGCCACCAGACTCTAATTTCTGTTGGAAACAGGGCTCCTAGTGTCACCCTGATCTTGTTCTCACAGCGGGGTTGAGCTTCCAGGTGACCAACAGGGCTGGCAAGGCAGGTTAGAACTGATGTCAGTCTGTCATGTATGTGCAGAGTTCAGTTTTTTACACGAAGAAGAGTATGTCCTTACATTAATATCTGTTGAATTGTGTCTTGTTAGCATTTGTTAAAGAATAGCACACTGATTTCATTTCACAGACCAGCTCTGGTCAGGGCTGGGTGACTGGGGTGTCTAAGGAGAATGCAACTGTGGCTCTCTCCAAGCTCAAGGGAAAGAAAGGAAGGGAATGTCTGTGGTGGGCCTAGACTAAGAGGGCTGAAGAACATGTGCTGTTGCAATGTATGTGGCTTCCTCTTCTCAGATGTGTGCGCTCCATAAAGGTGATCAGGGTTCTGTCTGTGTTGTGATTCAAGTTGGAGCTGGACAAGACAGACCAAGGCAGCACTCCTGGGTGCAACGTGGAGGCTGACTTCTGGGTTGACGCTGACACACAACCTTAGGCAGTTTGTCATTCAGAGTTCACTTGGTTATTGCTCTCCAGGCCACACTGTTTCCATTTTGTGTCTAAGAGGGACTTTCTGTAAAAGCTCTGCTCAGAATAACCAGGGGTAGGTACAATTCTTTCATGATGTCCAGAAATCAGGTTGTGTGAAGTGGAATGTTGCGGGATGAGTGGGTCACGGAAGATGAGCTAAGCCCCCAGGCTTGTGATTCCTGGGGCCCCACATTTGCAGAGCAGCACTCCAAAGACTCCAGCCCTTGGTCTTTTGTTCTGTCCTGGGGCAAGTGTGTGGAGTTTCACAGCAAAAACTGAATAATCCAGATCACAACAAAAATCAACAAGCATATGCATTTTATGCAGTTCAGAGTTTTATCATAAAATACAAACTTTCTAAAAGTAAATGCCTTACTCCTATTTTAACAACAACAGAAATAAAACTCACTCATGTTAGCGAAATACAGGTGCCTGTGTGGTTGAGCAAGTGAGTATGAACAGGAGGGTATGTGTTTGGCTTGTGTTGTGTGGAAGGTGTGTGTGTGTGTATGTGTGTGTGTGCGTGCGTGTGTGTGTGTGTGTGTGTGTGTGTGTGTGTGATAAATACAGATGGTCAATCAGTGAATCTGGTCTTGTTGTTTTCTGTCCATGACCTGCTCTGAGCCTTGGCTTTCTGAACTTCATGCCAAGCTATTGCACAGTGCAGAATTCTAGATCCCTTAGCCTGGATCTAAGGGCTAAAGGGGGCAGAGGGCTAAAAAAGAAGTCTAAAAACTGATGCCATTTCCACTGGAGGAAAAATAAGGGCTGTTCATTGGCGGCCCGCCAGATGTTGAGTTGAACCTGCAAGAGAGGGAGGACAGATGATATGATTAAATTCCTGATGTTCCTGGAGAGGTTAGAAAAAAATATTATTTATTAATTTTGTGGTAATCAAAGACTGTGCAGATCATGACAGGCATTGGAGGTTGAAAGCTTTAGCATAATAAAAGAAAAACAGGCTCTGGGACAATAAAATACTAAAATAACACAATTAGCGGACATTGAATCCTAGTGCCACTAACTTGGACCAATAAACTGCCATGCACCTGTAAGGGTTACTTCTAGGTAGACGGATTTTTTTTGTTGTTGTTTTTTTGTTTTTTTGTTTTTTGTTTTTTGCTCCAAATGCCTTCAGGGCAGGTGTGGCTGGCTTGAGTTGTGGGGATTGAACCACAGCAACCTGAGCCTGACTGCTTTATTGAAGCAGCCACTTAAAGAACTGAGCTAAGAGGCAGGCCCCCTAAGGGTTACTTCTAGGAGACCTAAACTGTCTCCACATCAGAACCACCAAGAATTAAGTCTCCGTGGAGCTGAGCAGTTTACCGGTATGTCTGGGACTACACTACTTGCCTTAGAGGACTAGGCATTCCATAGTACCAGAAAACATAGGAACAGGCTCGGGCATTAGATCTGAGACTCTGGACAATCCCAGGGACACTTTCTCCATGCCCAGTACCTGCTTAAATCAGGCCCTTCATTGTAACATAAATAAGGGAATTAAATGTTAGAGGTATCAGTAAGCAGCTGGGACTTTGCTAGGCCCTGAGAGAAGGACGAGCTGAGAAGACATAAGTCCACTTTCTAAGAGAAAAAATACACACACCTCGACCTTTTCTCCTGAGAATCTCCTATTCATACTTCTACACTGGGCTCAAGAACCATCTCCTACGTGAAGCTGCCCTGGCTTCTCCAGATGGGGCAATGCACCCTACCTCTGGGACCCTGTCGCAATTGCAATTTCTTCACCCATCTGCCAGGATATTTTGAATCAATGGGAACAGAGCTCAATATAAATTGCAACAGAGCAAATGGCTAGATTTAGTCTAATCCAGGGATTCTCAATCAGTTTTCAGCTGGGCGGATGCAAATTACAGAACAGATTCACGTTCAAGGCAGCCTCCCATGAATTGATAAAACAACAGAGGCGGGGTGGGTGGAGGACAGGGGAGAAGGAGGAAGAAGTAATGGAAACAGAGCACTGCATTAATTTGGAACGCCTCAGCTGGTAACAGACAGTATTTGTCTCTCTCTAGGAACATCCTGGACCAGCGAGGCTCTGCTTATGTTTCAGTCATTTCTCACTAAAATAAATACAAGAGCAGGAAGACATCTGGGCTATTCACCATTCTATACGCAGCCGTCCAGCCCCTACCATGAAGTAGGTGTAACTAGCCAATCGATGCCAAAGGTAAACACACTCTTTTTCTCTCTTTCAAAAGTCATATAGCAAAATAAATGATTGAAAGTGACACTGTTATAAGGACACTGAATTCCACTCAGTTATATAAAATCAAAGCGCTAACAATTATAGGAATTTCTCATGACAAACCTCCTCTCTGATTGCCACACCTCAAGCAGCCAGCTGCTACACATGGAGAACTTCTGATGGGAATCAAAGACCAAGGGCCCCTGGCCTGGATGGGAAGCAAGCTAGAGGGGCAAGAAAAGGAGCAATTGTGTAGACTAGAGCTAGCAGGGAGGCTCCCTGGAGGAGGAAGAGGAAGAGGAAGAAGTGGAGGAGGAGGGGGAGGAGGGAGAGGGAAAAGAGGATGCGGAGTTCCAGGTTTGGGTGGGGGTTGCTGAAACATCTATCATGCTGGTTTCAGTGTAATTACTACTCCTGCCCTTTTAACTCTAAAATGCGTTATTGCTCAGAAGATACATTGCGTGGTTGTCCTGCCCTGAGGAAGGTGTTCAGAAGGAACACCTGCCTCTGCTCGTTCTTCCCAGAGACCCAGGGCAAGCCCCTTGCTTTTCCTCCTCCCACTTCATACAATTTTGCCTCTTGCATCCTCCTTTCTGCTGGCACCCGAGACTGTCTTACAGGCCAGATCCTCTGCTGAGGCCCCAGTAGTGGTTGTCTTCTGGGCAGCCTCTCCTGGGTCATGTGCCACCCTGTACTGCTCTGGGGGGCCTCCCTAAGCTCCACAGCCACCCCCCTGTGCTCCCATGTTCCTCCCTGCAGGGTCTCAGCTTTCTCGTGACTCTCCCATGGTGTCCTCTCCCCTCCAGGAAACACCTCCTGCACCTGGCTTCCAGCTCCCTTCCTGAGTCTCCGGTGTTCCTCCCCTCTCAGCAGAGGTCCTCCTTAGATCCCTTGCTGGTTCCATCTTCCAGCCTTACTGCCTGCAGGATGCCTAGGGCTCAGCCCTTGGGCCTCTGCGCTGTATACACACCGCTTAGTCATCTCAGTCCACCTTAATTCGTATCTTTAAGTATCAAGCATTGGCCAATGACTCCCAAATTTTTTCCCAGCCCCAACCTTCTCCCTGACCACTAGACTTCTATGTCCAGCTCTCCACCCAGAGTTCCACCCATCTGTCCAGCGGGCATCTTCAAGTTCACGTGTCCAAGACTGGACTCTTAATGAACAGACTCTTGCTCCAATCATCTTGACCTTAGCACTCTGGCACTGACATTTATTTATACAAGTGCAAACCCACAAACTGGACTGGGCTCTTTTTTGTTCCACAGTTCACATGCAACTGGCATCAAGTCCCATCATTTCTGCCAGGAAAACAAACACCCCGGATCACTTCATTGTCCTCCTTCCCTGCACTTGCCACCCTCATAAGCTCCACAGCATCTGTTCTTGAGCAGCACTGAAGGCTCCTGGTGTGCTCCCTGCACCGGCTCGTGTTGGAGCAGCCCATTCCTCATATATCGGCCAACATGATCCGTTCCATAGAGAAAATTAGAGCACATCCTCGCCAGTTTAAAAACCTTCATGGCTTCCTCCTGCTTTTAAAACAAGACTCACCATGCCTACCAAGTCTTATCGACTTGGCCCTGGAAGCATCTCTGATTTCAATCCTTTCCCTCCCTCCCTCCCTCCCTCCCTCCCTCCTCC